GGTGAGCACGTATACTCATCGCCAGGCAGCGTATAGAAAATGGATTCCTCAACTTTACCATGTATATCAGTTTGATAACCTCAGTAGCCTTATGTCTTCAGCTTTCACGTGGAACAGGGTTGTTCGCGCATGAATACGACCTACATAAACACCAAATCCCAGGGCAGGGGTGCCCCCGAACCCTACCGCACGTGCTATCCGGTAACTTTCAAATCGAGGCCTCGGCACGCATGGTGAGTATAATACCGGGAGTGGAGATAGAATGATTTGAACACGTTCACCCTTCGTTGGGCCCCACCCTCGACAGCACCGACAACCTGACGCACAACCTGACGCGTGGTTACGAGAGAACGAAAGCCCAATTACATGTATATGCCCAACAGCGCCAAAGGTAAAAGCTTACAACTCGAGACGCTCACGCATGTACCGGTTTGATGCGCGCAACGCATGCCCGAGTTCGACAGACTGCACACCTAATTACAATCCATCCGATAGTAGCGACAAAGTGCTGATTGGTCAGCGTCTTTGCTCAAGAACTTCTTGTTGAAACAGCCTGAATCCCTCCAGATCTTCCTCCAACGAGCGCTGACACACGAAACACCAATTACACGGGAGTGGGCATCAGAAGTGAGGGCATATAGTGAAGGACAGAAAATGCTGCTCACGTTGCGGCAACCGAGAGCATCGCGAATCCATCGAAATATGGTTTGTACGAGGAAAATGCGCTCCAACAGCACAAGACGCGTGAGCGCCACAGTAGTGCTGATAATGCTCATGATGCATATTCCCCGACGTCCATGACGTGCGAGCTTAGCCGCTAACTCCTCACCACGATAACTTCCTGGGGTAGATTCCCGGCCGTGCTGGTATACGCTGCGCCGGGGGAAGGAACGTCATTTGCATCACGCTCCTGCAAAAAACCGACTGAAGTGTGCTCTGCATATTCGGATGATGGGTCCGCCAGGAATATAGACCTGCGAAACGCACGAAAAGAGCACACAGCAATAGCATGTATTGACGCCCATCCACTCTCACGAGGTTGCGCAAGACGTCACGAGTTATTTCCCGCCATAATCATACCACCCCAGTAACATCTGTGCGCTCATCAGGCGCGTCGTGTAACAATTCACGTGCAATACTTGACTAAGAATGGAAAGCATGCCAACGCCATCAGATCCTACATACGCACGTCCAAGCCATTTACCTTCCTGGCTCCACCTTCTGAAATGCTGTCGTCTCAATCGGTACGCACCAGAGGTATCATCGATCACCAAAGTCCCCCCTTCCCCGGTTCGTCGAATGATTCTCTAAATTAACTACGGGTAACTATGTTATTTTCTCGTTACGCGGCAGTTTTCTCAAGGTTGTGTTACAACATGGCACGTGCCATGGACTCGTGCATACCAGAGGGGTGGAAAACGCAAGTCTGCGCTTGCAATGGACAATCCGACACGATCCGCAAGAATAGGGAAACCCAAACGACGTACTTGGAGGACGCGGCCGAGCACAACGCGTAAAGCGTCGACGGAGCGGTAGAGGAGTTGAACCCACCCTCCAGACCACAGACGCTGGAATCCACAGATGCTGATACACCATCGTCTTGCATTTCTGCCGCAAAAGGTAGCTGGAACGCCAGCCAGTAATTAATTGATAGACGCCAGGCAATCGGTTATTCCCGCACAGCAGAACGAAGGACGACAAAGGCACTACTTGATAGATGCTATGGCAAATGCCTGACGACGAAGGAGGCAAAAAAAATACCAGTCAAACTGGAGTCCGTGACCCGATCGGATAGAAGGCACGAACTCACCTCAGTTCTGTCCATGCCAGCACTTATTGCAGCAAACGTTGTTTCCTGACTACTGTAGTCCAATCTTGGCGGCAGGAACGGCCGCGACGACGAAGTGACCGCCGTCCCCGGGACACCAGGGGGTTGAGTACCTGCCTTCCTTAACGCAAAAGGAGACTCTGGCAGCACTTCTAAGAGGGTAGGCACCGGGGTTCGTGGTCCAGATGAATGTATCCTTATGCTGAAGGTGCTGTCATGACCCCTCTGGCCGACGTGTGCGGCGTCAAAAGGAGGACTGAAGCTAACCAAGGGCTGACCCAGGGCAATGTTTCGTTCGCCAAGATCAGGCCCAGTGGTGTTGTACGAAAATGGAGGGGTGTACTCGGTTGCCGTGCTGTGCCGATGCCCTGCTGTGATGCGAGAGCCACCAGACCCTGACGGCATTGACAGCGATTCGCTGATTGAATTTCGCCTGTACGGCCGCATGAGTGCTCTGCCTCGATCAGCAACTCCGTCCTCTCCTCCCTCTGCTGTCCGAATCATCTGCATGGCGTCGCAGAACCGGGACACTGCTGAGGAACTCTCCGCAATAGAGGATGCTTGGATTTGACAGGAGTCCCATACTTAGTCATACCTTGTATCGGCCAAACGTTCGCCGGAATGTGCCGCTCGTCTACGCGGGTTTTGTATCTACGTGCACAAGTTGTCGGGTGCCACTCTGGTCAGCAACTATGGGGACATTCCAACTAATGGTGGTACCTTGTGCAGGAACTGTGACTTTGTATTTTGTATTCTAACATCGCACTGCCTGTGGTCTACCCATCCTGTAACATCCCTCAAACCAAATTTTGACAGAACATCCGGTTTATCACCAATAGCCACCGCCTGGGCAACAGTCTACGGAGCGCGCGCCTGCGAATTGGCAGGAAATTGTCTTCTAAAAGCATGAGGGGTCATGCCTGCGGCTGAAATCGTTCCCCAATACTGCAGAAAAACCTTGACGAATCTGAGAGAACAAAGTGACTGCAGATTTGTTCGCTGATTGCAATCGAAGCGCTTGGGTTACGGCGTTATCCAGAGAGTGGAAAACATGTTCATCTCATGCTGTCACATACAATCACGGTGTCCCCGCTCCACCCCTGGCATACATTTGCACCCCCCCGCTCCACTTGTGTGGCTGTTGTAGTTGGTCTACATCTTTCAAGTACATGTCGCACCCAGATGCGAATCTACCCAAGGTCGCCTATATTGCGTTTTTGTGCCCCCTGTTATGTGGACCAGGGTGGAATACAAGAAGAGGAAGAAACAAATGGATTATTGCCATTCATCAGCTTACCTCATTGCTACAATGAGAATCCACATGGTTCGACTCCGTGCGTCCGCTGGCACCCGACAGGGTTTGTGCAGAAACGCGTATGAGATCTTCGTTTTCCTGCCGCACAGGAGGAGCCGGTAAAAGCGGGGGCCCTCGAGCATGGATTTCAGCGTTAGGCCCCAATTCCAGTGGCTCCATCATGACGTCGTGCCTGGTTTAATTTGAAAATCAATCATGCAGCAACGTTGATCAATTTTTAACAGCAGCCCTACACTGGATGGACGTTGCTGCATCTCAATGCAAAGGGCATGAGAGACAGCTATGAACCCAAAGTGCAGACCGCCCTCGATGAACAGTGCAAGTGACGATGACACAGAATGATGTATCACATGTTCCGTTGCTCAAGCTACTCAAGCCCAGACTTGCACAGCTGTTCCATGTACAAGCTATCACTTATCGATACATGCCAGTGTTTTACGAAGGACGCAACATGATCAGCAATGGGCCCTGGTTTTGGCCGAACACATTAAACAGAAAGAGTATTTCCTCACCCAAGCGGCCGTCCGCGATGTGGCCCAGGAGTCAGAAACGGTGCTGGACCCTGGCGTGGTCCAATGTGTGTTCGCTTCTCCGCGTACCCATGCCCCAGTTCCGGAGAGGGCCAATGCATCATTGAAATATTCTCCGAGACTATATTCCCGGCGTGCTGGTCATACGCATCGACAGCACCGTCCGGCCCCGACGTTCCGTCTTCAGGCGTGCTAGGCAGCTTTGGCCGGTCGTGGTTCACTTCCGCTGCTGGCATCCTCGAGGCTGCGGCGTTTCTCTCATACTCGTCCGTTACATAGTTCGGGATGAGCGAAGTCGTCATATCGGGCGCTGCAGAAAGGGTGTTGGTTTGTCCGTGCTGATAAGCCTGACGAAGAGCCATACAGGCGGATAGGAACAAGACGCTATTGTCAGAATGATACTAACAAACAGAGGTTGACGGGCGCACGCCATGCCGACACAACAGGTGACAAACGCGTGCGGGATGACACTGATGAAAGCGCGTCGTTTCGTACTCTAACCCCAGCGCACCTTTGAATCCACACCTCTTCGGTAGCGACAGATGACCTTCACACTGCCGTGCGGTGCCTTTAAAGGCTTGAAGGCATAGCAGCTCGTTGCCTTCCGGCCACTGTGACCTGCATGGTCTTCGCCACTAGCGCTGAAGTCCAGACCTGATCCGCAGCTACCTCCATCACGCAACGGGTACAGGGAGAAACCCGTGTCGTCGCTTGAATCTGCCAAAGACACATCCCTGCTCTGGATCCGTTTGTGAACCTATGTCAAAATCAACAGGATGGCGGGAGGGGAGCTGCATATTTCAGCCAGGTTCTTCATGGATATCGCCATTTTCAGGCGCTAGTGTCGGGAAAGCTGTTCGTTTGGACACCACGTCCACGGGGCACGTTTGGGCCAAGGCTGTTGCCTGACTACAAGATGTGTGTTCTGGATGACTTGCATCGCTGGGGATTTAGTGTTTTGACAGTGGAGGAGACCTGTTGACGCCGCGTTGAACAAAGCTAATCTTGGCGGTGTCTCGTACTCAGTTTGTGGGGTTTGGAAATCTGCATCATATCGTAACTATTATCATCCAAACAGACCACGCATTCGTGCAGATAACTCTCAATAATATTGGTTCCACTCACGCTGTAAGCTGGCAGCAACCGCACGAGAGAGTAAAGAGTGCGAAGAAGGATGATGGATCGTTTGAAGAAGTGCCTCAGCTGAGCAGATTTGCCGTCTGCCGCATCTTGCGCCTCGTACCTGCCACCGCACAAACATTCGGACAACTTGATGCTTCCTGCCTTCGAGACCAGCGGGCTATTCGTGACACTATGTTCCCGTTAAACAAGTTCCGTCAGACTACGAGTCATCGCACACCCCATGCTGTAGAGGGACCGCTGTTAAAATAGATTTAACTGATTCACGCCCTAAAGTGTGCCGATTCCGAACATGATCACATGGGTCATCAATGTAGTGTCACGAGCGTTTCTTGCACGTAACGCCGCGTTTTTACAACCTCCGGTTACGATCGAGATGTGAACTCTTGAGAATTATGTAAGGGTCGACACACGGCAGACAGGAGCGAGGGAGAACGGTAACAAGAGACAGGGACAAGGAGAGACAGAACGACAAAACGCACACTCACACGACCGCATACACATTCCCCCATATCAAATTCGCCATCATGTGTCAATGTACCCAATTGATTGTCCGTCTTCACAGAACATTCTCCGCTACGCCCCACACGCCTTCCTGCTTCGCGTTCGCCTGCTTCGAACTCAAAATTCATAGAAGCAGCGCGGTAAGAAGCACTTTACCTCCCTCGAGTGCACCAATCTTCGCAATCCAGTTCGTCCTATGCGTAGGATAACAACCGTGTGCTATGATCGAGGCTAAACTTGAACCACCATTCTCTCAGCTTGACCAGCTTTGCTGTGACTGCTACTACGAAACCTCCGAAAGGGCAGACGACATACCCCGTACGCAACGACGCACGTGATCTCCCATCGCTCCAGCAGCTCGCGGCCAGGGGCCCCGTCTCCTCCTCCACCCTCTACCCAAAATATGTCAATGCCAAGAGGCAGCGTGAGGTCTTTTTCCCATGCTTTCATGGAGTTTCTCACAAGCGCTAGCTCTTGTACGTGCAGAGAGAACTGCTTGACGAAACAACGCACGAGGATACGATCGACGAGCGAAGGGTGTAAACTTGGGGAGGACTTCAATACCTCAGCGTCTCGATGTGCACATCTATTTCTATTGCAGTAGTACAAATCACCTTCGGTTCAAAGTCCAATTTATGCTTACTTCCCTGATTCCTGTAGCCTAAGGTGGGCTGACGCTCACCAATGGAGCCAAGACGTGGCACATCTAGTACTTGCAGCGGCTCACCTTGCTGTTGACCTCGCGTCGCTGTGGTTGAACTAACGAAACTCTGCTGGAAACGACAAGTTCTGCGACCTTGCAGAGCAGCTCAAAGACAACTTGTTCGCATTTGGACCTATCGCTGCTCATCCCTGCTTGGACTGGGTCAAATTGCTGTTGTTACAGCTCCTCGTTTTTCTTGGCCCTCTCTGTCTTCTCGAGCTGCCCCCTACTCTTATCTGCAACGCACGTGCTCTTTGAACATCACCAACGAGCTGTCACCAACAGGAGAACAGGAGGTGGACGAGATGTGGGTTTGCAGAAAATTCGCGTTTTTTAGGTCGGGATACTTCATCATGCAAAAAAACAAACACAGAAGACGCACAAGGAGTCCGCCATCCCTCCATGTGGAAACCGTGGAACACCCCAGCCCCCTCTTCCCTAGACCCAGGCCCATTCTGCACTCTGCACCGGTCGCCCCGGTGGTCTAGTTGGTAACGTCGAATCCTTCTAGAGGTCAGGTCAGGGGTTCGAATCCCGGCGTAAGCGAGCTTTCTTGCAAAGTGAGTTTTTCTCTCGCTTCCGCTTCTGGCCTAGTGGATAGCGCAAGTTCGTGTGTACACAGAGGGAAGAGAGTGCTGAACTCTTCTCGCATTAAAAATCGAAGGCAACTTACCGCAGGAGGGGAGGGTAGAGAGGGGCTATTCTGTGTGACCACGGGTTGGAGTAAACGGCACTAGTGCCGTGAGCGCTGATTTGAAGTGAAGACAAAAAAAAAAAAATCTGCTGGCAGAGAAAGTGCAGATTTGGCCTTAAGGAGCATATGCTTCAGCAGATCCAATTTCAACATCTGCTTGAGCAGAACAAGCGATGTTCGAGCAGAACCACCTGCTCCCGGAGCAGAACCATTTATTGCTGGAGCACATCAATCGAAAAACAAGCAGAAGTGTCTATTTTGCTGGCATATCCGGCTGCAAGGCGTGCCAGAGGCTGCTGGAAGACGGACATAATTGGACTTAAGTCCAACAAAAGCACCTGGGGATCTCACCGTTTGCAGTGCACCTTGTGTCACAATGGTATGCTTTGTCTTAGTTGTTGCATACTTAACATGGTAGCATTGTAGGTCCACTAAGTGAATATTTGCAGCCAAGATTTTGAAACAAGTCTGCCTAGCTGCCCGGCAGTCGCTACATCGCTGCACACCGCACACCGCACCACAACACACCACGGCACTACGGTTCGACGGTCTGGCGCCGCGGCTGCCGACCCCGGTCCCTATCATGTCGGGTATCGACGTATGCACTAGCTCTGGAAACGACGACAGCAGCAGCAGTGATTTATCTGACTTGGAGTTGGTGGAGGTCACACAAGCGCCGGAGTTCCTCTCACGGATGTATAGTTCGACAACCCTGCCGCTACATGAACGCGGTGGAAGGAATGAATGAGTGATCCTTCGACATCCTTTCTGTAGAAAGAGCATTTAATACGGCATGAGACGAGGAGCAACTTGAGCCCAAGAAAGCGCAAAACACGCTAGGTCAGGCACTACTAGCATTGAAAGAGCCAAAACATGATGCATTGTGCATAGGTTGGTGCCGGCATAATAACCACCCTGAACAGTAAACTAGTAGAACAAGAGAGCATAACTGGCCGAAACAAACATATGTATGTGAGGGCAGATCCACCCAAAAGGAGCAGAACACGAGCAGATCCACCCGAAAGGAGCAGAACACGAGCAGAATTGGCGCAAAATTTCGAGCATATGTGAGGGCATAATGGACGAAAGTGAGCAAAACCAACGAGCAGATTGGACTTTTAAAGCAGATGCTTGCCGAAAAAAGGAGCAGAAAAAACAAAAAAGAGCAGAATGGGCCTGGGCCTACCCCTCTCCCCCCCGGGCCAAGCTTGCAGCGCAGTATAGGGGGATTAGGCGGCACGCTTGCAGCAGTGTATTGTATAGGATTTATTGTGTCCATAGTAAAACCGATATGCTCTTCATTGCATAGACCTTCGTGCCGCATCCTAAAACCCAATTCTCTTCATTGGTAGGCTTCGTGTCGTCATACTTTTTCCTACAAAACACACTAGACCTCGCGACCAAGATTGACGCGTGTTCTTGGGTGGGGTGTTTCCATAATTTCCACCAGCTCTATGCAGGATCCCGCGCGCGCGCGCTGAAAAAGCGCCCGAAAATGTCGAAACCACGGGGATTTTGTCAAAATCCATCCGCCTGGGGACATACAACACCCATCCCCCCCCACCCCCTCCGTGACCAAGATTGCAGCGTAGCCCAGGGGTGTTCCGAAGTTTCCGGATGGAGGGTCCCCCTTGAGATACAGAGCAACTGTAGGCCTGTGGTGCTCAGTACATTTTTTTTTTTCAGCGATTTTTTCCGATTGCCAAAATAAAAATGGTGATTATTCTAGCTGCACAAAGACGTTTTTCGGTGAAAATCAGTGACAAAAATAAAAGGTGAAACTAAAAAAAAATTTCCGTGATTTTCGGTGATAATTTGAAGTACTGTTGGGGTGAGCTGCCGACAAAATTTCTTCGGCGATTTCTTTCGGCGATGTTTTCGAAGGATCGTAGTAAGTACTACACGTTCAGACCATGGGTGGTGTCTGCAGCGCGGTGCTTGGGTAGATGCGTGCGCTCTGTGCTCTGTGCTCTGCTGCTGTGCTGCTGCGCTTGAGGGGGGGGTATCTGATAGCCTGTATACACGGAGCCCCCCCCAAAAAAACGGCGGAAATCGGTCGGCGCCGGCAACAACCGGTGAGGCACCTCCCGTTTTGGGTGATCGGCCACTTTTCTTTCAGAAATTCAAAATTCTCACGTTTTACGGTGACCTTTTCAAAATTCGGTAATTTTCGGTGATAGCCTACGGAGCACAGGCCTAAGCAACTGCTGTACTTGCGCCGCACCACACGGTCGAGCGCTGCGCAACATAGCGCGGTGGTTTCCAAGTGAGAAAGCGAAGAGGCGGGTCTCAATCAACAACCCATTGCAGAGTTTGTGGCCAAAGGGCGGAACACCGGAACCCATGAAGGAGGAACTCATGCGATGTGAAGCCGTCGAGCCGCCACCTCACTGCACGCTCGTTGCACTTGATCACGCCTCCACGGGGCGCGAGGCACGCCTCACGCCCCATGCCCCGCAGCAGTTTGGATGCCTTGCCTTTCCTCCACGCAGGTCCACCAGCGGCTCGTGTCCTCATTTTCTCGTTTTGTGGGTAGGTTCTGAAACCGATAGGGATTTCTGTCGCCGAAATTGTCAGACCTATGTTCGACCAAAGAGCGACCATCCGCGACGATCGACGGAGCGGCGGCGGCACGGGCGGCCCAAGGCTGCCCGATCGACCGACCGACCCCACCCAACCCTACCCAAACTCAACCAACCCGATATCCAACGGCGACGAACGACGAAGCCGGAGCGGCGCAATCGACGGCGGCGACCCAACCCCAACCCGATCCCAACCCAACCCAACCCAACCCAACCCAACCCAACCCCAACCCATCCCAACCCAACCCGACCCAAACCAACCCAATCCAACCCATCTCGACCCGACCCAATTCACGCCACCCCGACATAGTCGGGTGAAGTTTCATTTGTTTGCAGAAGAAGGCGAGGTTGTTGTTGTTGTTGTTGTTGTTGTTGACTTCACATTAAACCGTATGCCAGTTGCTAAATGCCAAAATCTAGCAAAGACTCTCAGCCCGTGGTCACGAAAGTGCTAGAGCCATCTGAGGATCTAAAGAACACGCACACGTAGCAAGAAAAAGGTATCCAAGAGCCCGAAGAGGTACTACTACACCTATATATAATCCCTGCAGCACCGTACGCGTGCCCAAAACTGAACTACACGTCCGTCTCACCGTTCGACTACAGCAACATCACCCCCTACCTGTCCCACTCTGTACCAAAACGAATGATTGCCGACTACAGCATACTTGCTGTCTGAAGTG